GTATTTGCGGTAGGGTCAAATGTGTTTTCATACCTTAGTGTTGCTCATCTTGCCTTTACCATCACAAGTCACTGAAATGTCACCGGATTTAACTTCGATAGAGATCGGAAAGGAGCGATGTGCATTATGGTATGACTTCTGCTTCTCCTCCGTTTGTACTTCCTATTTCATAGAAAAAGAAACAGAGCACAGAATGTATCTCATTCATTAACCTTTTTAGGACAGGGATACCTAAGCAGACAGATCTCAGCCGAAGCTGCACCGGTTCGTTGGAACTCACTTCCATCTTTTCTGAGGAAATTAGATTCCATTCAGCAATTCAAAACACAGCTGTGCTAAACATGTTCGAAATTGTCCTTCAAATGGGCAACAGTTACCATTAATAAAACAGCATATTTTTTTTCTTCTATTTATCAATCAGTTTCTGCTATAGGTATATGTAATATACGTAATATCTACAATCTACATGTATGTCGATAACTACGATAGGCCAACATTTGCTATGCTAACAATTGTTTCAGGCTATATCCAAAGTCTGAAAGCGACGTGTGTAGGAGCTAGATCGAGTCACATCCTGTGGAAGTTTCGTGAAGAGTAGGGCGTAAATCAGGTTTTAGTTTGCTTGCAAATGGCTGCAATACACAACTGGTAATCTTTATACAGACCTTAGAAACAGGCTGTATAGCCCTTTGCACATTACAAGACGATTGAAAAACGATCACATGGGCAAAATATGGAGTCTATAAGGACAGACACATGTGGGATCCATTTTGGACCCAAAGTACATGTGACCCATATGAGCATGCTCCCTAGGAAGAGATCCAAAGGGAGTGAGAGAGAATAAAAGTGAACTGAGTTGAACCGAACTCTTTCTAACTGACCATTTCTATTCCCGGGGTATCTGCATTCAGGTGGAGATGAACATCAAACTCTTTGCCTCGTTCAATCTTGTCCGGTACGTATGGGGTACACATGAATTGAAGCTGGATGATCTGTTGCTCAAGAGGGATAAGAACCCACCACTCGGCACAGTGATCGATGAGCAACTCAAGATGTTTCTCCAGGATTTTGCAGTACGGCAATATGTCAGGTGCAGCAGATGATTTTGTCCTCGAAACTCTTGGTAAACCTATGATTAGAGCCACAATGTCTTACATTCTTTAATGATCATTTGAGCAACATGAGGCAAGATACATGCCTATTATAGAACACAGATTACTGTTTGAAATAATGATGACTTTAAAGATCAAGTTGAGTACTGATCATGCAATTACACTGTGAAAGAAACTGCCTGGAAGCAACTGCATGTTTTTAATTATTTTCATGAAAATAAACTGACACATTTTCCCATAAGATCAGATGATCAGACAGAGATGTGTACATGGAAATAAACACAAATGTTTGGACCAAACTTTATTGGTATTTATTACCACATTTTAAATAAGAACACATTTTCAGGAGACTTTTCTACTATGGTATTCTTCCAAAATGACATATGAAGAATGAAGAATAAAAAATCATAAATTAATTTTCATCTTAACCAGAGCTCATTATTTTCTTTAAGTCATACGTTATTGGCAGTATTAAAAAAAAAAAAAAAAAAAAAAAACTCTTAATATGTTTGGTAGCCATTTTAAGGTCATCCTTTCAACAGTTATCATAAATACATTGTCAATATGACATATTAAGGTCATCTTGTCAACAGTTAGGTTAACATAAATACATTGACAATATGACATATTAACAACCCCTTGAGTCCCGCTTCAGTCTATGAAGATTTAAATTTAGAATGATTTTTCAAAAGACATTTTGGTCCGTTTTCTACTCATTCAGTTACCGTCATAAAACCCTGAGTCAAAGATCATGTTCAACTAAAACCTTAAATAAACATCCTTATTTAAACCTCATTTTTGACACAATCATAGCAAACTATTGGGTAGTACAACTACATGACACTTTTACAAAAGCATGTTCTTTGAAAACTTAACTGATTCATACATTCACTTGATTCATTTTAACGTTTTCTTAACACTGTCTTGGTTTAAAGACCAGGAACCCTTGGGTAACCAGGAGGACAAGAATGGTTTAAAATAGTTTAGTTTGGGAAATAAAATTTCAATAATAAACGTTGCAACAATGGATCTAACCTACCCTTTCTTGGATCCCAAATATGTGAGACGATGTCTGGTATCACTTGTTCAGGGTGGGTGACCAAAGTGGAATGTGGTATCCTGATCTTAACAGGTTGTTGGAAGACCATGTTTGGAGGGTCACATCTGATCCCGTAGGCTGCCATTGATGTGTCATCTAGGAGGACAACACCGGGGAGGTTTCTCACAACGGTAAGGGTGATCTTGTAAGATTCGTTCTGTTCGACAGCCCCAGGTGGGATAGCCATTGAAATGCCATGTTGTTCCAGTTCGAGCTCTTTACCGTCACATCCAACCTGAGCTGAGACAGCGTTGACCACTGGTGGTGTCGACTCTTTAGCTGCACATCAAAATTCATCAAAGAGAGATTAAGAATGATTAGGGCCAAAAATAGAGTTGAGTACCTTTCCACTGAAAAAACACTATCCAGAAGCAACGGAAATAGTTTGACTGTGTTTTCCATAACAATCGATGTAGGTTTTGGAATGATAAAAAAAAGAAAAGCAAATGACTCCTGCCATATTGGTATGGGTTTAGGAGAAGCCAATAATGTCAATCATTTATTTGTACTTCTGAAAGAAAATTTGGCAATTCCCCTAAAGTTTTCTTGTTCTGTTCTGGCTCTTACAATGCACCCATATCAATAAAAATTGAAAACCTTAAGAATCGTTGATTGATCATTATTTGTTTATGATACACTATGTTTATTATTTATTTATTAGAGAGTGTTACCTCGATAAGCTCTGATGATATCCATGTCAGGAGATCTGAGAATTAATGCAAACGACAACGAGGAAAAAGTGATAATAACATATTGTTTCAACCCTCAGGATATATTTGGGCAAGCAAAATGTATTTGATCAAATATCCACAGATATGTTACCCTAGGAGAAGTCCCACTTTCTTGCTTTTCAGAATAATTATTGCTAAAGTAATGTAGTGCTTCATATATGACTACTTTTTTTTTCTCTTTAAAAGAACAATTCCACCTGGATACTACAGGATATACTCTTGGTGTATAAATTAATGACCGCATACTTTTATATTCCCATATCCAGTGTTTGTCTCAAGTTTTATTTTTTGCAATTTTACAATATAACTAACTGGTTTCGAATGGAGTTACTGAAAAATTAAGTATTAATCTTCACATACTGCTCTTTATATTGGTTAAATAAAGAAATCAAATGTATAACTCAGCTCGAAACCCAAATCCAAATTTAAGAAAGCAATGTTACTCATTTTTATTTGTTTTTTAAATAATAATAACTATATTTTGTAAAGCACTTTACCAGTTACCACGTAGACCGCTCAACTATGACACCATTTCTACATTTCTTCAAAATGCCCATGTTAATATAATCCTTTCCTACCTTGAGAATATCATCTGGCGGATGATTTCATCCTTGGCATAGTGAACTGGTAGGTTGCCTTGGTTATCTTTGATATCCGGCTTTGCTCCGTGGTCCAAGAGATAGAAGACCAGGGCCTTACTGGGAGACAGTTCATTCTGATAGAACTCTTCTGAGATCTAGAAGAATTATCAATAGAAACGATTGTTCAAACTTTGGTAGACCCTTATGTTTCCGAAGACTAATCCACAGGTTCATCATTCTGAACATTTGTTGTGTTTTTCCGATGTTTCGTTTATGATTATAATTCTGAAATTGAAATAAGTATTATTATTATGACTCTAAATGTTTGTCATTCCGAACATGAAATAAAGTTCGTTTTTTCAAAGTTTCAATTCAGTGATACAGAATTCTTTGTATTTTTTTGCAATAATAAATTATTTTTCATTTTTCGGAATTATGAATCCTTTGTAGTTTTCAAAATTATGAATCTTATCGCATTTTTCAGAAATAAGAAACTTTTTTTAAAAGCTCTAGAGAAAGAAATGTTCATATGCTCCATTTTTGTAATTTTCTATAAAAGACTCATTCATTGTTAAATGGCTATGCTAACTCATGTGGGAATGGCATGATTCCAATTTCATAATTGTAAGTAAGCTGTAGGAAATTACTACACATCATTTTTCGCTGGAGAAGTGTCGTACAATCCCAGAGACAGTGCGTTCTAGAGTATACCTTTTGGAGTGCTGGTGTTGCTTCAACTTTACTGTCCTTCCGACCGGAAAGTCTAAAGGCTTCGTGAAGACAGGTCTGTCCGTCGATGGACTGGATGTTGAGATCGGCGCCATGAGAAACTAATGTCTCGATAATGGAGGTGTGGCCATTTTGTGTGGCTAAATGAACTGCTGTGCAGCCTTTCCCAGCACATTGCCCAATAACCTGTGTAAAAAATAGCCTCCAGAATTCAGAATCTACAGACAAAACGGCTTTATATGTATAAAAAAGACGAAAATTTAGACTTGGTTGGGCATATAAGCAGTCTCTTTTCTGATTTTTCATATGTTAAATCACCAGATAGACTTACATATACACAGATTCTAACATTTAAGCAATTATTATAAAGTCAAACCTGACTATCAAGGTCACCAATGGGAGACCAAAAAAATGTGGTCACTGTAGACAGGTGGTCTTTCTTAACCATTTCTCAAACACACATTTCTTTCTTGAGGGAGGCAAAATACATGGTCCCGAAACAAAAGTCGCTTGTATAGAGAGGTGGCCACTAAAACGGGTTAATATGTACTTGTACAGTTAGGTTTTGAGAAGTCCTTTGAAATCATTTCAACCTTTATCATAACTTAGACATCTACATACCTTCACGAAAAAGTTTTAAAAAATATTATTGAGGTTAGAAGCTGGCTAATCCTTTCAATTTATATTGGTGAGGTTTTGCTACTTGCGAGAACGTTGATAAACAGTAGGATATGTTTTCATATGAAATCTATAGGAATACTAAATTAAATACCTTCTTCTCGTCTTCTGTTAAACCCTCAGTATCTGCACGACCATTTGTGAAAGAAGGGTGTTTCTGCCCTTCAGCACAACACGTATCTGGACTCATCCCATGCACTTGGTCTTGTTCTGCAGCGAGTTGCAACGCAGTTTTCCCAGGTTTACTCAGATTCACTTCAGCTCCGTGCTCCAATAGATACCGTGTGACATCTGTATGTCCATTTGTAGCAGACAAATGCAATGCAGATGATCCCTTCTTGGTAATCTTGCTAACATCTGCAAGTTGCTGAAGTAGATACTTCATGACATCGATGTGACCATTCTGAGCAGCAATGTGCAAGGGAGTCCAACCGTCATTTTCTGTCGCATCAATTTCGGCTCCGTGGTTGAGCAAGCATTTTGTGATATCGAGATGACCATTCTGCACTCCAACATGAAGGGCTGTAGAACCCTTTTCCTTGGTGGCTCCGTTGACCTTGGCTCCTCGCCTAAGCAAATGCTCGGTAACGTCACAATGGCCAACAAATGCAGCAACATGCAAAGGCGAGATATCATCAACGCCTCCTTTGGCTACTTCAGCTCCTTGTCCAAGTAGATAATCTACAATATCAAGATGACCAATTTGCGCAGCAAAGTGAAGAGCGGTCCAGCCAATATTGTTGCTTTCGTTTACATCAGCTCCTTGACTGATCAGATACCTAACAACTGCATGACAGTCACCTTCTATAGCATATTGTAATGATGTGCGACTAACTGTTCTGCCTCCTTGACTTGCAAGCCGATCTTGAAAGTCAAGATCAGACGATATACCTGGCCTATGCATAATAACCATTCCACCTTGAACTGTCTTTTCATCATCGCCATCTTGATATTTGCTTCTACCAAGATCACTTTCTGTAGCACCTCTAAAGACAGTGAGAGAGTCAATTAGTCTGCTAACTGATTGAACTACACGACTATGCACACATCGCAAACCATCATAGTGACCATACTGTCCATCAAATTGTAAAATGACAGAGTACCCCACGCTTCTCTTATTCAGTTCAGAGCCTTGGCTGAGCAGATACTTGGTAATGTCGATCCGACCATTACATAAAGCATAATGGAGAGCAGTGGTTCCAACTGCGCTGCCAATATCTGCCTCCACTCCATGACTGATTAGGGATTTGACGATATCTAAATGGCCCAAAATTGATGCAAAATGAAGGGAAGTCAATCCAAGGTCATCTCTTTTATTCATATCGGCCCCTTCACTGATCAGATATTCCAAGACATCCAAGTTCCCTTTCTCTGAGGCACTATGCAAGGCACACCTACCAAAGGCGTTGCAAGAATTCACATCAGCTCCTCGACTTAGCAAATATTTTATCATACTAAGGTGTCCCTTACTTGCTGCAATATGTAAGGCTGTCCAACCAAAAGAACCAGCTTTATCCAGCTCGGTTCCTTGACTGACTTGATCTTTAATGGCATCAAGATCGCCTCTCTCTGTAGCGGTATGAAACTCCGTCCAATGAATTATATTTGATGTGGCCAGCTCAGCTTGCTGACTAAGCAAGGCACTTGAAACACGAACGTGACCAGCAGCTGCGGCAAGGTATAAGGCTGACCATCCGTTGTCACTAGCCTTATTGACATCAGCACCTTGACTGATTAACTCTGTGACAACATCAAGATGTCCTTTACTAGCAGCTAAATGTAATGCAGTCCAACCATCAGAATTAGTCTGGTTAAAGTCAGCACATTGACTGATTAGTTCTTTGGTGACATCAAGATGACCTTTATGTGCAGCTTGTTGTAATGGGGTCCTACCCTCATTGCTGCTCCTATTGACTGCAGCTCCCTGACTAATCAGACATTTGGTGACATCAAGATGACCATAATCTGCAGCAAGATTTAATGGGGTAAAACCCTCATTATCATCTTTATTCACTTCAGCTCCTTGACTGATCAGAAATTTGGTAACATCAAGATGACCAGTAGATGCAGCTACTCGCAATGGGGTCCTACCATCATTATCATCTTTATTCACTTCAGCTCCTTGACTTATCAGAACTTTGGTGACATCAAGATGACCATTCTGTGCAGCTTGTTGTAATGGGGTCCTACCATCATTGCTGCTCCTATTGACTGCAGCTCCCTGACTAATCAGACATTCGGTGACATCAAGATGACCATAATCTGCAGCAAAATTTAATGATGTAAAACCCTCATTATCATCTCTATCCACTTCAGCTCCTTGACTGATCAGGTAGTTGGTAACATCAAGATGACCATAATATGCAGCTAGTAGTAATGGGGTCCTACCATCATTATCATATTTATCCACTTCAGCTCCTTGACTGATCAGGTAGTTGGTGACATCAAGATGACCATAAGATGCAGCTAGTCGTAATGGGGTCCTACCATCATTATCATCTTTATTCACTTCAGCTCCATGACTTATCAGAACTTTGGTGACATCAAGATGACCATTCTGTGCGGCTTGTTGTAATGGGGTCCTACCATCATTGCTGCTCCTATTGACTGCAGCTCCCTGACTAATCAGACATTTGGTGACCTCAAGATGACCATAATCTGCAGCAAGATTTAATGGGGTAAAACCCTCATTATCATCTTTATCCACTTCAGCTCCTTGACTGATCAGGTAGTTGGTGACATCAAGATGACCATAAGATGCAGCTAGTCGTAATGGGGTCCTACCATCATTATTATCTTTATTCACTTCAGCTCCTTGACTTATCAGAACTTTGGTGACATCAAGATGACCATTCTGTGCGGCTTGTTGTAATGGGGTCCTACCATCATTTCTGCTCCTATTGACTGCAGCTCCCTGACTAATCAGACATTTGGTGACCTCAAGATGACCATAATCTGCACCAATTTTTAATGAGGTAAAACCCTCATTATCATCTTTATTCAATTCAGCTCCTTGACTGATCAGAAATTTGGTAATATCAAGATGACCATTCCCTGCAGCTAAACGTAACGGGGTCAAACTAAGATTTCCGCCGTTATTCACCTCGGCTCCTTGACTGATCAGAAATTTGGTAATATCAAGATGACTAGTCCCTGCAGCTAGCTGTAATGCAGTAAAACCGTCATTATCAACTTCATTCACCTCGGCTCCTCTACCGATCAGTTCTTGGATGAGGTCAAGTTGTCCATTCTGCGCAGCACTGCTTAGTGCACTCTGCAAATCTTCAACACGGCCATCTTGTTCAGTTCCCTCCTTACTGTCTCTGTGAATCAGACTGTTGGCTTTGCCTTTACGACTGACCCCCCTTTTGAAAATCTTCTTCCACATTCCTAGTGAAAGCTAAGGGTCTCTCTCCTGGCTACAAGTTCATGAATTCATCAAAATCTTTAGGGCTGTTTAATTTTTTTCCTACATGCTGTATCTTCTCATTCTCGTGTCAAATCCTAGTGAAAGCTAAAATTTGACATCAGTGTATCACCAAAACACCTAGATAAAAGAAACGTGTTTAAATTTTCGCAAATTCGGTCAGTGGTGAGGTACAAATTTTATTGAATTATATTTTTTAATTGGATGGAAAGGGCATATCTTGAAGTGTCTCAGTCAAAAAAGGGTACGGCTTTGGCCAGGCACGATTGATCTAAGCCACTGAAAGATTTTTAGAACTTTAGAGGGCTCTATTTATATCATGCGTGATTATTGGAGCGTGAAATTTAGCTAGGTTATGTGCATTGATAAGATTAAATACTGTAGAAGTTTGAAACAAAACGGAATTGGTATGAAAGAGTGACGGCAGTTTATGGTTTTTAGGGGTCAATATTTATATAATTTAAAACGATTTTTGCCAGAGTCGATTTCGGATTTGAATTTTCAAGTCAATGGTCTTTGTCAGGCTGCCAATCATCTCTAAACATGTCACTTATTTTAGTCTTTTGGGAACAATCCAAGAGTCCGATCTTTCACTTTAATCATATGTGTGATGTTTTAGTCCACAACTATTTTCCAATTCTAATCTATATTTTGTTCTTGTTTTGTTTTGTTACGTATTCTATATTTTATAAAGCACTTTTAATTACCAGTTACAACGTAGACCACTCGACTATGACATCATTTCTACATTTCTTCCAAATGCCCATGTTGATTTAATCCTTCCCTACCTTGATAGTATTATCTGGCGGGTGATTTCATCCTTGGCATAGTGGACTGGTACGTTGCCTTGTATTGTTAGACAGGTGGTCTTTGTAGACAGGTAGTCACAAAAGCAGGTTTGACTGTAATTGTATTATGTAATACAGGGCTCTCTTGCAAAGCAGTTTTGATGTACTGAAGAGACCACCATGTATATATAAACTTTTGAACGAATAAAGATATATATATTTCTAACAACCAGTTTTTTCATCAATCAAAGGTCACATCTCACTCTCTTTTTTAGTCTATTCGGTTCGTTGGTCCCATTATATGGAATTCATTATCCCCCTTGATGCAATACTCAATTAGGAAATTCCTTTAAAATTAAGTACAAGCGCCATATAAGGTGAAATAACATTGATTTGTTGTAGCACATGTGTAATTTTTGGTACAGGGCTTCCGTATGACCCCCTAACCAATTTTAGGTTAAAAACTCCCGGCAATTGTTTATGTGAGGGGCGGGGGCGTCGTCCTACAGCCCCCAAATTAAAAATACTGTATAATAAACGTTGTGTTAATTGTAAAAACGCCATTAGCGTTTCCTTTTGACCTTATGAACGATGTAAGGGCTGGAGCTCCCGGCAAAACATTCACATAAGTATAAGGGGCAGGGGCGTTGTTCCGGAGCCCCCACATATACAATGCATAATCATAAATATGAAGCCCTTATACTCATCTTCATCAGAGCTCACAGAGAGAAAAACTTTACACTGTATGTGAAGGTCCTAGAAGAGCTCACCCCATTGTTCTTCGCCTTGGACCATGTGAACTATTCCAGGTGGATGCCTGTTCACATTTGAGATATGAAGTCCCTACCAGCCACTGTCAAGAAGGAGTTTGATGAACACTCACACTGGGTTCTTTCCAAAACATCAAACACGTTTTCTTCGATGCCTTTTGACCAGGCCCATGATCAAGAGAACAAGATTGTGGAAGGTGCAGGTGGCGCTATTGGACTCTTGGAAAACCCTGCTGCTCTTAGACGATGGATGTTTTCTGGACCAGAAATGGCTAGAATGCTGAAAGAGTTTGAAGATGAGTACTTCACAGGAGATGATATGGACAATCCTAAGAATTTCCAGCACCATGAGCAAGGTCTTTCATCGCAGAAGTCGTTCCAGAAACAAGTCAATGCCCTTTCTGCAACCATCAGGCAAATGGGTAATCCATTTTCGGATGAGTTTGATGGTCTGGTAACGCTTGACAGTCGCAAATGCACAGACACAGCCGTTGTTACCACAGTCCGCACACTGTAAGAGACTGGAAGGAAACAATACCAAAAGTTTGTCAAGACCGTGCTTGATGAGCGCACCCACTCAATCTACGATCCCATCAAGAAAAATTCACTGGCTCTCTTCAGAAAATCCCACGGCAAAAAAATTCAGAAGAAAGACAAGAAGATCAAAGTGCTTCAAAACAATGTAGCACTACTTGGCCAACTCTACATCGCTATGCAGAGCCGTGAAAGTAACTTAGATGAGTTCTTCGCACACGAGATACAGTCTTTCCCTCCTTCTCTGTCAGACTTCGGTAATCTTCATCTACCAGGTACAAAGTCTGACCTGCTGCATTGCCTTGAGCAGCCTGACCAACCAGAGCCACCATCAGCATATTGCTGTAAAGTCTTCGATGGAGCTATCATCGTCCACTGTCTGCCTGTTATCGGCACCAGTACATTTGATGGATACGCCAACGAAGTCTTCATTCCATACCTCGAGAAGCAACTGAAGACTGCCAAGAGATTAGATCTTGTGTGGGACAATTACATTCCAGACAGTTTGAAGGAGTCTACCCGTGAAAAGAGGGGAACTGGCGTCCTTAGGAAAGTGTCTGGCCAGACCAAGCTTTCAGGCAATTGGATGGATTTTCTTCGTGACCCAATCAATAAGAAAGAACTGTTTGCCTTTCTTACATCCAAAGTGAAATAGTTCCACAGGCCACATGGCAAAGAGATTTTTGTCACATCAGGAGAAACTGTGTCATCCGTCGGATCTAGCATCGGCATGGGAAACTGCAATCACGAAGAAGCCGACACAGGGATTGTGGTTCATATTCTGCATGCACTAGAGCAGGGAGCAAAGACTGTCCTTGTGCGAACAGTAGACACTGATGTTGTAGTCATCCTTGTCGGCAAATTCTATGATCTCCTCAAGACTCAACAGTTAACTGACATCTGGATCGCATTTGGTATGGGGAAGAAATACAGGTACCTCAACATCAATGCCATTTGTGAGAGTTTGGGAGAGTCAAAGTCACAAGCCCTACCTGTCTTACACTCATATTCGGGTTGCGACACGACATCAGCATTTCATGGCAAGGGAAAGAAGTCAGTCTGGCAGGCTTGGAAAGTGTACGATGATGCAACAGAGACATTTGCTTATCTAGCCAAGCATCCCTTTCAGAAGATGACCGTTGATTCTGAGCATTTCCAGGTCCTTGAAAGGCTGACCGTTGTCTTGTACGACAAATCGAGTCCATCAAACTCTATCAATGAGACAAGAAGAAGCCTCTTCTGCCACGAAAATCGATCGATGGAGAAACTGCCACCCACGCAGGACGCATTACTGCAGCATGTGAAACGGGTCGTTTTTCAAGCAGGAATCTGGACATCAAGCACGAGAGCTAATCAAGATATCCCATCTCCACAAGACTATGGATGGACCAAGGATTCAGGGTCTTGGTTACCAGTGTGGATGACAATATCGGATGTCCCTAAAGCATGTCAGGAACTGCACCCACAACAAAAAGTAAGTCACCCTTACTCAAATTGATGAGTCACTGGTTTGTCCGTACAGCGAAACACTTGAAGGATCATGTGAGTCACTATGACTCGATACAAATGAGTCTTATTTATCTAAGAGACTCATTTGTATCGAGTCATAGTGACTCACATGATCCTTCAAGTGTTTCGCTGTACGGACAAACCAGTGACTCATCAATTTGAGTAAGGGTGACTCACTTTTTGTTGTGGGTGCATCATGACATAGACCCCCCCCCCTACTCCCTAGGCCCATCACACACATACCATACCATGCCAGAGTCACTGTCCACATTTGCAATGGAAAATATATCCTAAAATATCACATTTTAGCGATGTAATCGGTGGTCCCGCTACCCGAATCTGAAAAATCTACTTTGTACGCACTAAATTAAGCCTTAACTTGAGATTTATTTGTCATCCATACTGTCACGAAACAATCTTGAATTAATTCGTTTTACATCAAATAACAAGGATCTAGGAGTTTCGTTGTATAAAACAATGATGCAAGATCATGCATGTTTTCATTCGACACGGCTTCGTGCGATACAGTAGAATCTATACACTATGAACATGACTGACAATGAGAGCGGACAAAATATACAGTTCCTCAGGTAGACAAAGGAACATCCCTTCACAGCTATTATGTAAAAAGGTGAATATGCATGTGACACCTGTTCTACACATTTTTACATAATAAGGGATGTTCCTTTGTCTACCTGAGGAACTGTATATTTTGTCCGCTCTCATTGTCAGTCATGTTCATAGTGATAGTTAAGTTACACACAGCCTCATCAACTCGAGTGCGGATATCGTAAAATGAACGCATGCATCATTTGTATAATAATCAGAAGATTCAGCCCACGAATCCAGTCATAAAAATCATCGTTTAAAACCATATGAATAATTATGCGTACCAATTTTTCACTAGCTGCAGTCAAAACTCTTCTGAATCCAAGATATAAGATGGCGACGTCGCGTCGTCGATCGGGAATTCAAATATGGCTCGAGAATGCGCATTTTGGATGACGTCACGAAAGCATGCGCGCGCATGCATACAGCCTCACTTTCAAGTTGACTCACTTTTTTCTTCTAAAATGCTCTTATGTCGATCTTGACTCATTTTTTACGACCATGTGAGTCAGTCGAAGCATTTTGCAAATGCGTCAGCTCATGATTGACACACTGGTGAAATATAAATGAGTCAATAGAGACTCATTGGTTGTTACTAATGAGTCAATAGAGACTCATTGGTTGTTACTAATGAGTCAATTTACACCTGACTCACGAAAATTATGCTTAAATGTGTCAAATGACTCATGGTCAAGTGTTCATGCAAAGGAAACTGTTCTACCTGCAAATGCGGCAAGGCAAATCTTGACTG